AATAAAATCATTTGAGATATATTTTAAGGTATTGTTGCCTTCTGAAAGCTTTGCCTATATGTATTTTCTTTAACCATCAGTGTAATCTCAGTAGAAGAGCATATGGACCTATATATGAAGAGGCTGATTACCAGCTGAAGTGAAGGATTTTCAAGTTTAGGAGGATATAGAAATCAGTATCAAACAAAAAGGCACTGTTCTACATCAACAGTATATTAAAAGAGCCAATGGCAATATAGTGTAAGCTGAAATGATTTAAAATGTAAACATTATACATGATTACATTTCCTTCTCTGTTAAGTGTTTCTTGACAACAGTAGTTCTTGGATGCTTTATATTTGGCCATTCCAATGACAAAATGGGAAGAACGAAGACTAGAAGCAACAGAGGGAACCGATTATGAGGTATTGTGATGAAATTTGGAAATTTTGCCTGTTCTTCTGATTTTGACATGCAAACAAACATTTCCTCACTTTCAAGCCACAGTATTAAAAGGAAAAGCAAAATTTTCTCAATAAGCATATTTGCATTAGAGAGAAATCCAGAGTTGTGAGCCACACAACTCTGATCGTCCAAAGAATCCAGAACTGTTTACTATTCAGAGAGCTGCACCATTGGCACACTTACCTAGGAATGAGACACACTGCAGTGGGATTTATTTTCAAGTCAATATGGTCCTTTTAGGTTTACACAGCTGTTTAAAGTCAGCTAACTATTATAACCAATCTTTTTCATTTTGTTATAAGGCAGTGATGGTGAACCTTTTAGAGACTGAGTGCCCAAACTGCAACCCAAAACCCACTTATGCATCGCCGAGTGCTGGGTGGATATGGCTCATTGGCTCGGTGTGGCCAATTGGGTGGGCATGGCCAAGTGGGTGGGTGTGGCTGCAGTGGTAACGGCAGACTGGATGGGACTAAAAAGTTCAATCTATCAATTCCAACTTTGCAAGATCTTTTTTTTCCCGCGAGAAGTTGAAATTGACTGATTGAACCTTTTTTTTTTTTTTGCACATGGCGGCGGTGGCCTAAAGCGAAAAGGTTTTATAAAACCCAGCTGAAGGCCAAGGACTGGGGCGACGACGTACGTACCCACAGAGAGGGCTCTGAGTGCCGCCTCTGGAACCCGTGCCATAAGTTCGCCACCACTGTTATAAGGTAAGAGAAGTACCCATTTATAGCAGAGCATACTGTTGGCTACCATTTAAGGATAAGAGTTTTTCCATAGTTTAAAGAATAAGCTGTTCCAAACATTTCTGGGTATGAACATTTTATTGATCTACTGCTAAAAGTAGCGCTTCTAAAGTAAACCCTATAATGGAAAGGATGGCCAACTAACATGATGCAGGAGTCAAACAGATGAACGCTCCGATTATCCCACCTCTATAGAAATATCCCAATTTCTTTACAGTTGAAATATTAATAGTAATGTCTTCCAAAGTTTTTAATTTCCAGAAAGGCAAGAATGCCCACAGTTCTAAATATAATTTTATCTGAAATTGTTCCTGATGTTTAAACAATGCATTATCTCATTCTAGCAACTAGTAATAGTAATAGTAATAGTAGTAAAGTAAAGTTGGAAGGGACCTTGGAGGTCATCTAGTCCAACCCCCTGCTCGGGCAGGAAACCCTACGCTATTTCGGACAAATGGCTGTCCAGTCTCTTCTTAAAAACTTCCAGTGTTGGAGCATTTACTGCTTCTGGAGGCAGGCTGTTCCACTGATTAATTGTTCTCACTGTCAGGAAGTTTCTCCTTAGTTCTAGGTTGCTTCTCTCCTTGATTAGTTTCCACCCGTTGCTTCTTGTCCTGCCTTCAGGTGCTTTGGAAAATAGCTTAATTCCCTCTTCTTTATGGCAGCCCCTGAGATATTGGAATACTGCTATCATGTCCCCCCTTGTCCTTCTCTTCGTTAAACTAGACATACCCAATTCTCGCAACCGTTCCTTATATGTTTTAGCCTCCAGTCCCCTAATCATCTTTGTTGCTCTTCTCTGTACTCTTTCTAGAGTCTCAACATCTTTTTTACATCGTGGTGACCAAAACTGGATGCAGTATTCCAAGTGTGGCCTTACCAAGGCATTGAAGAGTGGTATTAATACTTCACGTGATCTTGATTCTATCCCTCTGTTAATGCAGCCTAGCACTGTGTTGGCCTTTTTGGCAGCTGCAGCACACTGCTGGCTCATATTTAAGGTGATTGTCTACTAGGACTCCGAGGTCCCTCTCACAGTTACTACTATTGAGCATGGTGCCACCTATGCTGTACTTGTGCATTTGGTTTTTCTTGCCTAAATGTAGAACCTTGCTTTTTTCACCATTGAATTTCATTTTGTTAGTTAGTGCCCAGTGTTCAAGTCTGTCCAGATCCTTCTGTATCTGAAGCCTGTCTTCTGGAGTGTTGGCTATTCCTGCCAGCTTGGTGTCATCTGCAAATTTGATGAGTTCCCCATCTATCCCTTCATCCAAATCGTTGATGAAGATGTTGAAGAGTACTGGGCCCAGAACAGAGCCCTGGGGCACCCCACTACACACTTCCCTCCATATAGATGCAGTTCCATTGAGGACCACTCGCTGAGTACGGCCGGTCAGCCAGCTACGGATCCATCTGGTGGTGGTTCTGTCTACCCCACATTTTTCTATCTTGTCAAGTAGTAGGTTGTGATCTACTTTATCAAATGCCTTACTGAAGTCCAAGTAAATTATGTCCACAGCATTCCTCTGATCCACTAATTTTGTCACTTGGTCAAAGAATGCAATAAGATTTGTCTGGCATGATCTATTTTTGACAAACCCATGTTGGCTTTTAGTAATGACTTTGTTTGCCTCTAGGTGTTCGTTGATTCGTTGTTTGATTATCTTTTCCAGGATCTTCCCAGGTATTGAGGTCAGGCTGATAGGTCTGTAATTTCCTGGATCCATTTTTTTTCCTTTTTTGAGGATGGGAACTACATCAGCTCTTTTCCAGTCCTCTGGTAGTTCCCCTGTGTTCCAGGATCTTTGAAAAATATAGTTCAGTGGCTCCGATATCACATCTGCCAGTTCCTTGAGAACTCTGGGGTGTAATCCGTCTGGTCCTGGCGATTTGAACTCATCTAGGCTGGACAGGTGCTCACTAACGATTTTCTTGCCTATCTTAACTTGTGTTTCTGTTTTGTTTTTTGTGGCACTATTTTTGATAGGTTGGTCTGTTTTTTCCCTTTGTGTAAAGACAGATGCAAAAAATGAGTTAAATAGTTCTGCTTTCTCCCTGTTGCTTGTCACCTTCTTGCCACTTCCACCCACTAATGGACCAATCATTTCCTTCACTTTTTTCTTGTTTTTTACATGTTGAAAGAAGCTTTTTTTGTTATTTTTGACTTTGGTCGCAAGCCTCAGTTCATTTTGAGCCTTGGCTTTCTTCACTTCATCTTTGCAGGCTCGGGCTATTTGCTGATATTCTGACTTAGTTATGTTCCCCTCTTTCCACTTTCTATACTTGTCCTTTTTATCTTTCAATTTGTCAGAGAGTTCTTTATGCAGCCATGCTGGTTTCTTTTGAGAGCTGTTATTTTTCCTCTTTGTTGGTATTGTGCTAGACTGTGCTTTTATTATCTCATTTTTCAAAATTTCCCAAGCTTCTTGAGTTGTTTTCCCCTTGAGGATTCTCATCCATGGAATCCTTCCCAAGCCCTCTCTAAGTTTATTGAAATTAGCTCTCTTGAAGTCCAAGACTCTAGTTTGACTGTGTTCTATTGGTTGTGCTTCTATAATATATAACTATTTCTATATAACTATTTCCTTTGTATGCATTATTTACATGAAGAGGGTCCATAGCTGTAAGGGCAACTGAATCATGCTGTCTGAACTGTTTAGATCTACCAACTAATTGCCCACACAATGGATCTAGGATTAAAAGCCAGGAAGCTTATGCATAAAGGACGTCAAAATTCTCTATGTATAATATATATGTAGAACTCAGAAGTCAGGTTATGCATATGAGAGGAGAGGGAGTAATACAAACATGAAGAGTAAGGCCCATTGGTGTGTTCCCACTCGCATTCCTTCCACCCTGGGAATTTTTGTCATGTGTTTAAGGTATTTAAGAAATGCTTTCCTTGGAAGGGCAAAACAATGTTCCTGGTTGCTGGTAATTCACCAAGCTGGATAAGAAACTAGGTTGTCTTTTAGACATGATATAAATCTAGTGTGCTATAAAGTTAGGACACATGAACCAACAGTTCTGAATGAACAAATCTATTTCTGACCCTGACGTTTTCTGCCCTAAGACAATTTTTTAAAAGCAGGATTTAAATTAAGAAATTCTTTCAGCTGGAAGTCGTTATTTTGATTATGTAAAGGAATGACAACAGGGTGTTTTTAGAAAAGTGCAAATATAGCAGAACTGACTCAAGCTTTAACATATGTACATTGGTCAAATGTATTTAATAGATTAAGATAAATACTCCTGAGAAAAAATGTTTACTCTTTTTTTTAGCTTTTCTTAAAAGGGAACATAATTTTAAGATATTACAAGAGAGACATAGCTGGTCATGCAACCTCGTAATATAGTTTGTCTTGGCAGGAAAAGAAAAAGGAAAAATAAATCATTTTCATAAGTCAAGCAAGATAGCATATCAATTTGTAAGTATGGGAGAGAAAATGTGGAAAATTTTTATTTTCCCAGTTTAGTCAAAAATCTTTTTTAAAAAAAAAAAACTTTTCAAAAGAATTGTATACTGTACTGTGTGTGGCTTCAATTTATACATTAAAAATATATTTGAACATTATACAACTAAATGTCATGTCTCTCTACTAATTAAATATTGATTCAACAGTTAGCAATGAGAGTTTGATATTCAAAGGTAATTCACATTTTCATGGTATGCTTACATATAATTAACAACTATATGCTTTTAATGCAATATCAGTTATTCTTTTGTGAGGTTAAAGTCATGATATTGAATATGAATATGAATAATCATGTATATCCCATTGAAATAATAATCAAAGACAAATCTCATGTGTTTTAAATAACTGGAATTCAGTTTAATTCCTTTTGGCTTTAGAAGGATTTAAAGCACTTTAATTGTTCTGGATTGTAATGTGTTACTTAAGTGTCTTCATCTAAATAAATTTGCACTACATACTTCTGACGTTCAAGTAAACTCAAAAAGGACTATAAAATAGTTCTGAAAACAAAGTATGTTATAGCATCATTCTGAAACACTGCAAAGCTGGTGAAGAATTAAGAACCTCACAGAAAGAAACAAAAATGTAAAAGGTTACCAAATCTTTCTTCACCCCCCCTCACTTCCCTCCACCCAGTTCTGTTTAAAGTGCATGAATGTGGTTTTTTCCCTTAATGTTACCGCAACTCTTGCAAATAATTAATTAAATGCAAACATTTTGGCTCATCTATGCAGCAACATTGCTTGAAGAAAAAAAAAGCCTATTAAGTATTCATCTAAATGTACCATAAAATAGCAGCGTTAACAACATCTACAATGAAACGAAATGTTAGCAGTGTTTTAAGATCACCTGATGTACATCCAAAATGCGTTTTCCTTTCTACCACAGAACCAGGGAGGCAGTGGCAAACAATCCATAAAGAGCTACATATACATGGAGGGAATAAATGTGCAAATGGTAGAGGGATTCTTTGAAGCTTGCATTTTGCAGCTCCTGTCTGTGGAAGAGAAAAATGGCATTTCAACCAATCTCTTTCAGCAGCAAAAGTCACTGCAAAAGAAAGCTTTGCCCTGTACACACAATTCCTTCCCCATGTATACAGAACTTCTTTAGTGGGTGGTCAACAATATAATATAGTTACATTCTGGTAGAAAAGCCCAAGAAATATCTCCTTCTTCAAGTTGAATGTGAATTCTAAAAATTATAAATCTGACAGCTAAAGAGGCCATTTAAAAAACCCCACTAAAACAGGCATACATCAGAAAAGAATAAGTGTCCATTTGCCACGAGGCTTACACTACTGACCGGTGCTCCCCGCACACGTATACGGCACTAGGTCGGATACGTCTTCTAGCTTGACCAGGTAGCTGTGGCAAAAACTTGAAGTACTTGGGCACTAAGTCTAAACACGCATCATGAAATTTCTTGATTCTCCAGTAGTAGATGAGTGGGTTCAGAGCAGACTTGAGGTAGCAGAGCCAAAGGAGCCAGGTGCTTATCTCAAAAAAGTTGTGCTTGTGATAAAAGTGGCTGTTAAATGTAGCAATAAGGCTGTAGGTGGTGAAGGGGGCCCAGCAAATTATGAAGACAATGAACAAAATCAATATAGTGGTGAAGGCACGAGTTTTAAAGCTCATATCAATATTCATCTGAAAGGGTCTCTGAAGGCTCATGAGACCAAGCTTGCTAGCTTGACTGAGGCATATGCTATCCGGGTGGCTATGGATACGAACCGCATTGTGCCGTACAGTATTGAGGATGCCCATAAAAGAATATAACATTATGAGGAATGGAATGAAAAAGGAGACCAAAACCACCACCACTACATAGGCGCGGTAACCAGGGTCTGTTGTGTAGCCAAATACACACTGAGGTGCTTTGGAAGGTATCTGTAGGCTGGGGTTCCCCACAGAGAGTGGAAAAGCCACAACAAAGGCCACGAGCCATGAAGCAGCGATGAGGACTTTTGCTCGGCGAGGATTCAGCTTGTCCTGCCTTTGAACTATTATAAGAAATCTGTCAATGCTGATGATGAGTAGTATGGCAATTCCTTCGATGACAAACAGCCAGAAGAACATGGCGGAGACTCTGCAGAAGACATCCCCAAAAATCCACTGGGTAGTGATGATGGTTATCAGAGCAAAAGGCATGTTCAGCACAGCTAGCAGCATGTCTGCAAAAGCCAAGCTAGCTAGAAGAATGTTAATTGCAGATCGCATTGCAGTCTTCTGATACACCATAAGGCAGACGACAAGATTACCAACAAAAGAAATAAGGAAAATAAATATCATGGCAGCAGAAAGAATGATCTGGAGTGGTAGATTCAAGCTTGTGAAGCCTTGTAACAGGAGGGCAGGTGTACTATTGATTGTCAAAGGAGCTATCTCAGTAGTAACCATGGCACCTAAATGGTATTTCAGGAGCTGAGCTGTGCCCTTATGAACCAAGATCAACGGAGTGGTAATATTGGCATGTGCATGTTCATAGACAATAAAAGTTGCATTTAATGACACAGGATGAGCTGGTGTCAGCGTTGCAGGAAAAACCATCACTTCAGCAGAAAGAGACTTCAAGGCATTTTAATAAATAAGATGGTGTCATGATTCATGGCCCTTAGCTAAATTATGGTGACGTATCCAGAAGAGGGAAGGTTGACTTGTACCCTTCATGGCAGTGCTTTGGTCTGAAAAACCAAACAAAAATTAAAATGTTAAAATGAAATATCATATTACTGAATGCACTGATATTGCTGTGGGCAAATCCTCAATATTTCCTGCATTATCCAGCACTATTAAATATTCAACTGCGTGTACAGGAACTCCTCAACTTACGACCAAAATTGAGCCCAAGATTTCTGTTGCTAAGTGAGACATTTGTTAAGTGAGCTTTGCCCCATTTTACGACCTTTCTTGCCACAGCTGTTAAGTGAATCAATGCAGTTGTTAAGCTAGTAACACGGTTGTTAAGTGAATCTGGCTTCCCCCATTGACTTAGCTTGTCAGAAGGTCGCGAAAGGGGATCACATGACACTGCCCCCCCCCAGGAACACTGTGATCGTCATAAATAAGAACCAATTGCCAAACGTCTGAATTTTGATCACATAATCACGGAGAGGCCGCCAGTGTGAAAAACAGTCGTAAGTCACTTTTTCCAGTGCTGTTGTGACTTTGAACAGTCACTAAACAAACTGTTATAAGCTGAGGACTATCTGTATATAATTTTAAAGAAAAACTGGATTGCAGTAGCTTGCCACCATATTTTCCCTAAAATATTTCTAGGCGTGAGAAAATAAGGATCATTAATCATGGTCTTACCACTAAACTTTTAATTAAAATGAAACCTTTCTTGATCAGCTTGTGGGGAAGCAACTACGGCTGAATCTGGGCAGTGCACCCAGAGGGCTGAGGAAGAAGCTGGTGAAGAGAAGGCCATTTATGCGAAAGATAACAGCATATGCACGTATATGTGTTGCATTTCTGTCAATGGATGTGCATGTAAATATATGTTATTGTTGTTGTTTGGGGGGGGGAAAGATGAATTTAGGGTGTGATCCAGAGAGAAGCAGATGCACATGTGATGAGGGTGGTCTAAAAAGATAGGAAGCATGCATACTGTGGACTGAAACCTATTCCTATTAATTTATTTTCTTTATTTCTGACCATTCCCAGTTCATATTATTCATGCAGTTCTCATAACATATGCTTTTTTGCATATCTTGACCTGCCTTCATCTGATCAGGTACAAAGTTCACAAGATCAGTTTATTTATTTAAAACATTTAAATAGCTGCCCATTCTATATCGAACTCTGTGCGGCTTCCAGTTATACTGCTACAGTCAAAATTCTTTTTCATCCACATGTCTAAGAGGACAATTGCATGTCTGCCTCTCTGTCTGTCTTAGGGCCCTAGAGCTTAAGTTAGAGACATAACTGAGTTAGATGTATTTAAATACAGACTCATTTCAGAAAAAAAGCATCAGACTCATTACACAAAAAATAGAGAAAATCAGATCTAAACTTCATTGGCTCATTTATAAAACTAGGGAATGCAATGGAAGAAAGTACTTCTGCTTTCATGAGAACACGCATATGGTCGTACACACAACGTGTGAACACTCACACACAGAGAATAGGGAATTATATGATACAGTACCCATAATCCTTAGAGCATCATTTGGGGAAACCACAAGATATAGTTGACTTTCCAGATGCATACAAACAAATCAGCAGGGCAAGTTATTAATGGTGCTGGGTGGATGCTGGATTGACGTTCACCTGGATGAGAGAGGAAGAATCCCTTGGACTGCAGGAAGCTTGGGAGGGTAGGGTTAGAATATTGGAGAAACAAAGCAGTTGTTGAGGTCAAGGTTATGAGAGAACTTTTATATTATTGTATATTAAATAAATTATTTCAGATAATCAAGTTGAGAGGTAGTTGTCAACACTGGCCCCCATTTTAGCTTCATTTGTTTTCTGTTCTTTGCTTTTGATAAGTTAAGTTAAAAACTATTCAAGACCCATCCAGAAAGGAAATCAAATAGTACAACAGAATTCTGGTAGTATTCTTAAGGTTATCTAATATAAATAATACTAAAAATAAAAGTAGACTTTTACTACAAAGGCTACTGATTTTTATGTGCATGTATACATTCTGCTGATACACATATGTATCTTATACCTCAGTAAGCCACACAGAAAGTACACAAGACAGTTAGTAAAATCCATTTGCAGTTGTAATTATGTTTTCTTCATTTACTTTTTTCTCAGTTCTCAGTTCAACAGCTCACTTCATGTGAATATTAATGCTAATATAACATGAGCTAAAGTTAATAACTAACAGGCATATAACTACTATGATTCCAGCAAAAAAAAAAAAACATTTTGAAATTTGACTGAGATGAAGGAAATTTTGTCAGCAGAAAGAGAACATCACTTGAAGGTACACAATGGGCTACAAGGCACTGTTCCCCAAGTTTCGTGGCCTTTTTGAATAGCAGTGGTGATGCCAGAGCTGGTGTTGAGGAGTGGGCTTTATATTTAGGTTCAGCTCAGCACTGAGAGAGAATAGGGGGAGGTAGCGATTATTTTTCTTTATTCGGGGATGTATGACGTGCCAACAGTCAAGTTACGCACTTTCCAAATTTTTGACACACCAAGCCTGAAAGATTCACAATCAATGATCTAGGACAGGGGTAGGCAACCTTGACTCTTTTATGACGCGTGGACTTCAACTGCCAGAATTCCTGAGCCAGCCATGCTGGCTCAGGAATTCTGGGAGTTGAAGTCCACGCGTCATAAAAGAGCCAAGGTTGCCTACCTCTGATCTAGGATAACTCAGTTAATTAGTAAAAATAATCAGAAAGGTACATGGAGTAAACGGAAGCTTAGAATGCACTGCTGAGATTCTCTTTTTCACTAGAGCCTAATTTAAGATAAAGATCAATTTTAAATACATGCCCCTTCAGTTGAACTAAACAAGATGGCACAGGATTAAAATATCTAGAAATCTGTTTTTTCCTGCAAAATAAAGAACGGCATCTGCATAATTAGATGGACAAACACATTAAGTTGCTTCATATATAGCAATGTGTGTAACAACATGTGACTATGCCAGTGAGTTGAGACACTGTCCTGATTGCCAAGAGAGAGGAAGCCAGAGCATTAATCAGTTCTGGGGGAAAAACCCACACAACTGTCTCCATCTGTATTATATGGCTACGTTATGCACACAGAGCTGCAGCAATTCTGTATGACCAATAAGCAAGATGGGTCATTAGAACTTCTGCTTTGGGGAGTATTGTTTGTTATGTACATCTTTTTTTACCTAAAACTTATAAATATATCCTTAAGCACTGAAGACTCATTTCAGTAAAAATGTGGTCTCCTCTGCTAACAGGAACATTTGTATGTGCCATAATATGCTAGGAATCTTGCTGGCTAAAAGGAAAAATATGCAAGCAAAATTATCGTACAAGTTAATATGTAACAATAAAGCAATAGAAAAGTTGATGAAGACGTATTTTTCCTTATCTTTTCCATTTACAACACCTGGTATACAATTTGTGTATATAGTACATATACATGCATACAAAATATGTGTGGAAAGCTTTGAAGGAATGATTTGATTCAAAAGATATTAGATGGAATCAATACTATTAGTTTAATCATGCACTATACCAGGGGTAGGGAACCTTGGCTCTTTTATGACTTGTTGACTTCAACTCCCAGAATTCCTGAGTCAGCATGGCAGGTTCAGGAATTCTGGGTATTGAAGTTCACAAGTCACAAAACAGCTAAGGTTCCCTCCTCCTGCACTATCATTGTGTTTTGCAGACATTCAAGGGTGGTTCAGATATTCAGTAATTCTTTTGGCTTTGCAAATTTTAACTCTCCATTGAGGGATGAGAGACAATTGAATATGTGAGGAGCAATTTGATCCTGGCATAAGTAGCGGGATAATCAATTTCATCAGCAAGCTCTTGAGTGTTAGTGATTCTATTTCAGAGAAAATAGTTTCATATATCTCTAATAAATTCATTTCCATATTCAGTATTTCTACCTAGAAAAGCAAGAAGCTAATCAATTTGAAAATGACTCTAAAAAATTTAAGATAGATTCATAAAATCTATTCAAAATATGTGAAAAAAATTAATTGTAAGGTTTTTCAAAATTCTTTAGTGTATTATTATTAAGCCAATGCAATTTCCCATATTTTTTAAATGCCACAGATCAATAGAATGCTATGTTTTAATTCCTTGGTGTTCTGTAATAATCAATATAACAGCTCACGGTAGGAATTGAATTAATTTCTTGTACTACTCCAGCCATGATCAAAAACCTTCTGATTTCTGCAATTTTTTCAATCAAACAGCAATAGCAATAGCACTTACTGTAGACCAGTGTTTCCCAAACCTGACAATTTTAAGGCATGAGGACTTCAACTCCCAGAATTCCACAGCCAGCAACGCTGGCTGTGAAATTCTGGGAGTTGAAGTCCACATGCCTTAAAATTGTCAAGTTTGGGAAACACTGCTGTAGACTTATTACCGCCCCATAGTGCTTTACAGCACTCTCTGGATGGTTACCAATGTTAGCCTATTGCCCCCAATAATCTGGGTCCTCATTTTACCAATCTTGCAAGGATGGAAGCCTGAGTCAATCTTGAACCCATTCGGATAGAACTCCAAGCTGTGGACAGAATTAGCCTGCAAATTTGCATTCTAACCACTGTGCTATGAAATCTAATGAAAAGGCCAGACTAATTGGCCAGACTAAAAGACCCTCTTTGCCATTTTTAAAGAAAGTTTTAAAATTTATTATAGAGTTAAAATTCAGAGGTATTCACTTAGTAAATATTAATTCATCTGTAGTAGATCAAACCACAAAAAGACAGTAATAAACACAGGATACAATATCTACCTTGTTTAATTCTCATTATTTAAAGAAACCTTTAAAACTAGAAACTTTTCTTCTAATTTATTACCTACTTAGCAGGAATGCTAAAAACAGAAGTGATTGTTTTAAAAGAGAAAAAAATAGAAAACTTTACTTTTTCTTGTTGTTGTTTCCTTGGGCCCAATCCTGTTCTTTGTTTGTTTCAAAAAAACAAAAGGGGGAAAAATGTAAAAATGCAAAAAGGAGAAAACTTCCAGAGAAACATTTATTTTAAAGCAATTGCAAACTGTTCATATGGTACTGTATTATGCTTTATACCTCTTGAACTATTATTTCCATCGAAGGACCACAGATTCAAAGTCTTATTTGCTTATGGATTTCTCTATTAATGACTTTTTATCTAGAGATCTTGTCTAGTCCTTAAAGAACATAAATCTATTTTATTATACTATTGGTTTTTTCTGTCTAAAGCTTTGTTTTTCCAACTTGCCTCACTGGCAAATCTATTAAGTCAGCGGTTCTCAACCTGTGGGTCATGACCCCATTTGGGGTCGAACGACCATTTCACGGGGGTCGCCAAACAACGCAGTCCACCATTTTTTCCCCCTTTTCCTTAGCTGTGCTACTCCCTTTTATTCTATTGGCTTTTGAAAGCCAATAGAATAGACTCTCTTGAATAGAGTCTAATTCTATTGGCTTTCAAAAGCCAATAGGAATTGTCCAGGCTGTCTCTGCCCTGCTGAGCCCGCCAAAAGTCCCAGTCTGCAAATGGTGCTGCAAATGGTGCTGCAAATTGTCTGCAGCGAAGGCGAGCTGTCTGGAAGTTTCCACCCCTTCCTGCTAAGCAACTACTAAAAATGTAAGTAAAAGAGGGCCAGGGGTGGGAGGTGGGAGGCCGGCGGGCGCAGGGAGGGTTCCTGGCATACGGGTGGCCCAGCCGGTGGTCGCCCTGCGCCGTCGTTGCCCCTTGCCAGCTATGCCTCGGCCGGCGCAGGGGGCAGCACCATGCATGCGCGGCGCTCCCAGGCAGGGAAAGTCCTCGACTTACGACCGGTTGAGTCGTCCTCAACTTATGACCAGTTTAGTCCTCAACTTACAACTGGCTGAGTAGTCCTCGACTTACGACCGGTTGGGGGGTCGCGGCATTAAAAAGATTGAGAACCACTGTATTAAGTCCTAAGTTTCTTAGAAAAAACAAATACTATTTGCCTATTACCTACTAATGAGCCATGGCGGCACAGTGGTTAGAATGCAGTACTGCAGGTACTTCTGCTGACTGCCGGCTGCCTGCAGTTCAGCAGTTTGATTCTCACCGGTTTAAGCTTGACTCAGCCTTGACTCAGCCTTTCATCCTTCCAAGGTCAGTAAAATAAGACTCAGATTGTTGGGGGCAATATGCTGCTCTGTAAACTGCTTAGAGGGGGCTGTAAGCACTGTGAAGTGGTATATAAATAAGTGCTATTACTATTAAATGTTGTGTGAGAATCCTGACATTAGATTTTGATATGAATAAAGGGAGGAGTCCAAAAATGAGAACAAATTTGCAAATAGCACAAAAATGGGGGAATAGCAGTCAGTAAGGAGGGTCTCAAGATTCTAGTGGATCTTGACAAGCTGGTATAATTAACAGAAATAAAGAATATTAATTTTAATAGCAGCAAATGTAAAATTCTAAGAAAACCAATGGTGGAGGAGGATAGACACCATGCTAGGTAGTAATATGTATAAAGGAATCTGGGTGTCTTGATAGATCATAAGCTAAATATGAGCTAGTAATATGAAGTAGCTGCAAGAAAAAAAAGTAAATGCAATTCTAGATTGTATCAACAGAAGTATACTATTAAGATCAGGAGAAGTCATTGTCCCTCTCTATTCTGCACTGACAAGACCAGACCTAGAATATTGTATCCATATTTGA